CGGAAAGCAAGGCTACAACCAAGGATGGCTGGATTATGTCAAAAGGACTCAGGAGTCTACTTGAAGAGATTCTATTAGAATACCTCCATTTGCAAACCCTAGTGATTAATCAGTCTAGGTTCTGATCATCAATGCCTGCTCACATTCACCCAGAAAAAGTGACAATCAGATATGATGTACCTCCTGATAAAAGTGCACAACATCATCGATGAAGTATTCTTATGCAAAACATGGAAGCATAATCTAATCAAGCTTCAAGATACATGGGTCTATTTGCAGGGGACAGAAGAACGTATTAAATGACATCATGGAGATGCAATTAGCAAAATCCAGATGGTAGAACACAAACAATTATTTCCTCAACAAACCATAATGAAAAAAATAGAGTGTACATCTGTAAATTAACAAAGAAAAGATTATGGGCCTGATTTAAACAAACAAGTTATTTTAAAAACGTTGTAAGACTATTGGGAAAATCTGAGCACAGATGGGATATTTTATATTTTGGAATTATTTTTAACTTTGTTGTGTGATGATACTGCAGTTACATTTTTAAAACAAAATCTGTAATACATGAAATTGTATAAAATCAGGCATTTGCTTCAAAATTATCAGGCATGAGGAAGAACTGAATGAGGATATAGAAGAAAGAATACTGTCCAAGACTTTATAATTGTAGAGTGACATGGAGGGGCTCAGAAGGATGTAACACACATACTGAGTTTGTGCTGCAAACAAGGAACACTGAGTTTGGGGATCTACCACGTGTATGGTAAGCGTAAGTAAGAAAGTCTGCACTTTGAACCTACCTGCACCCATGACTCAGACTCAACAATTTTTAATTCTTAGACAATATTGTTTCCTCTATGCCCTCACTCAATTCCCTCCACCCCACCCAATAATTTGAAACAAATGTCTGACTTTATATAACTCAACACTCAAAGCTGCTCACTGTAAACAGCAGCCTGAGGAATGGCATGGGTAAAGTGCAGTCAGGAGCTTGCGTTCCTGGCACACCCAGCAAGAGTGTGCAGGGATGCTCAGGGCACATGGCAGTCCCCTTCCCCATCACTCCATCTGTTGTCCCCACGTCCTGGCTTCCGGCAAACTTTTGCAAAAGTATGCCACTCTGCTGGCCACTCTCATTAATTTAAACAACGAAGGCTAGAACTGAATCTGTTCAATTGGTCTTATACAGCATTTAATTAAGGCTACTACCAACTGGACTCAAAATAACAAGACGAAGGTAACGTGCAGTACTGACTTCAAATATGCCAGCCAGTCAGGATGTGGCCTAGTCTAAGGCCAGTCCATTATCCATTACCACCCATGCAAGGGAGTTTACACTGACCTGCTGATCTTTGGTGTCGGCGCCAATAATTACAGAAAGCAACAGATGGGCCAGAAAACCACCTCCATCCCCAATGGAGAGAGATTCTATGGCCCACTTCCAGCCACACGCAAACATAAAACCCAAAAAGGCACAGGTAATTCCTACCAGGATTTCTTATTAAATTTGATTTGGATCAGCCTTACATTGGTTTGGTTAAGTCACATGGTCAGTGTAACTGAGAGGCTGTAGCCCCCTTTTCCATACATGGCATAAATCAAGACCTCTCAAGCACCAGAGAAGCATGTAAATGTATGTCAGAATGAAATGAGGTTCATACCTGTTTAAAGGGGGTCCATGTCGAGAGCTGCTATTGATGGCATCAGGTACAGGAGAACAATTTAGAGTCAGACGTGTCCACAGAATGTCAGCTGCAGTTGCCACTTGACTCCAGTGGCAGTGTAGGATCTAGGCGACAAAGAGACTATTAATCGCCTCCACCCTTGTATATCTTGGGTCTAAAGTGTCCCCACCACAGGTGCCAGGGTTGTTTAATGTATGAGTCTGTAGTCTTCCAAGTAGCAAATCAGATAGCAGATCAGGCAGTTGAATTATTGGCAATACCCCAAGAGTCAGTAAAAAATACAAGTTTCACCATAAGGAGCATTAGCCAGAGTTATGAGAACAGCCTTGAGTCCTGCCCACTGAACAGACAACCACACCAACTTTCAGGATGGCCTATTTGGAGCACCAGCTAAACAGCTGAAGTAGCCCAGTGGATACCAGTAGGATTCAACTTAGCCAAACCATCAGTTATCCAGGCCCAGGCTTTAAGGTGAACCTCAGTGCATTGAGGGCCCCACTGGGTCAATGGATTTATTTTAGGTAGTAAATGGGGATTAAAGTTTCCCCAGAGCAAGTGCTGCCACTGTTTCATGTAAACTGAGATGCTTCTGGGACCATGCCAACCATGTCCTTGAATATACAATCTCCACTTGACAAGTGAATATACTAGGTCTTTTCCTTATTAGTTGTCCAGTCTGAGTTCACCCACTCCAAAATTGGGACATCAGGCTGCAGAGTCCCAGGCCCTCTATGCACGGATCAGGCATTCAGCAGCAACAAGCCCTCAGCAAGTCAACAGCCTCCTTTTTTTTTTTTTTTTAAAGGGGTGTACTTACTGCCTGGATCAGGCAGGTGGCGATGTTGGACTAGGAAACTACAACCATTTAAGTCTTTAAAGCTGTGATTTCCATTTCTTCCCAGATTTTATATTCTTTTGCGAAAGAGGACAGAGACTACCTCTCTGCGTGCCACAGCCCCTGCATGGAAGAATCCCTTCTGGACTTCGTGAGCATTTACAGCACAAGTATGTACAACATAAATATCAAGTATATGAACAGCAGTGAAAGACTCATTACCAAATCATTTTCTGGAAAAAAAAAGATATTAACTCAATAGCAGCAGCCTCGGAACAGTGACAGTGCTGCTCCTGATTTCCAGCACCTCCATCTCCAGGGTGGGGAGCACCTTTGCCTGTGTGCACTTCAAGTACATGGCTGCAGCAAAGATCTACCATCAGGGAAAATAAAATAAATGAACAGGTGTTCACCAATCTATGGACATGCTAGGGTGAATAGGGCCCTGAAAATAAGTGAATAGGTATTCTTGACCATCTAGTAATAAAGCTCCCTCCCTGAACATTAAAGTTGCTCTTTTCTGCAAAGAATCAATGACTTATAACCTCAGAGTATCTAAAGATTTCACTTAGATAAAATTATACTTGATGGCATAGAGTGTAAAGCCCCAGCCCTGGAGTTGGACCAGCCTTAGTTCAAGCCCCAGCATCACCATTTCGAGTTACGTGATCTGAAGCACGGTATATAAACACGCTGACGCTCAGTCTCCTTATCAGTGAAATGGCAACAACATCATCAGTCTGGAAGTGTTGTTGTGAAGATTCAATGGGACATTTCGTCACTTTGAGCTGTTATGGGGAACAGTGCTTAATTGTAAAGCAGGTGGCCAGGGGATCCTGGTTCCTGGGGAGGCAGCTCAGGAATTCAGGCACTTAGGTGATAAGACAGAGCACAAAAAATTAAGACAGGCATGGTAGGGGGTGGCAGTTGGGTATTTGTGCGAGGCCAAGATAAGCCTAAAAACTGCCTTTCCTTGTTACAAATGGAGCATTTTTTAAAAGAGGAACAGAAAACATTTATTTCAAACTTCCCCCGCCATGAGGAAGATGTACAGTCAGTGATGCACTTAGGCATTCCAGAGTCCTCTCCAACAGGAAGTTCAGGAGGGACCACCTTTACTTCATTCATTGTCATACAGTTATCTCCCCTCTGGATCACACTAGAGAACACTAAACAGCACGCAAGCCAGCAAAGTAGGGGACAGAAAGAAACACACAGTAAGTTAATCAACAGACGTACTGAGCACCATCTGGGCTCCAGGCTCTGAGTTAGGGGTGATGAACAAACCGACATGGTCCCCGGTTCATGGAGTAAGTATTTTCAGGAGCAGCT